ATTATATATATATATATCTTACACCTACACTATACTTTACATTTTTAACACCCAATATTTCACATCACATCAAAAATACCAAAATTTGAGCTTTAAAAAAAAACTGAAGTATACCTCTTCATGCATAGAATTGGTGGCATACATGTAAAGATTAAGGTTTGGATGTTGATAAATACCAAAGAATTGAGTGGCATGCACGTAAACCTTCCTTCTGAATTTCAGGATAGCTGCAACTCATTCAGATTCATTCAGTTTAAAGATGAGAAACAGAGTTTATTGAGTATGAAACAAATAACCTGAGAATATATTGATTTTGTATTGTTGGAAAGGTTGAAATATCAGATTCTCCACTTAGCTTCTCACTTTCTTCTTCCAGATTTCAGCTCACCCCACAATTTCAGATTTCCTTCAGCAAACTTACTGGTGGGGGTTTCGGTGCAGAGGGCAGGACGTGAATCTAGAGAATGGAGGCGAAGCTTTCAGTGTCTGAGAGAGGCGAAGCAGGCGAGCTGGATTGAGATCGGTGCTGAGGAGAGGCGATTGAGCAGTCGAGACTCGTCGTGAGAGGGAGAAGGAATCGAGCATTTCTGGAGGAGTCGAGTGAGGAGAAGGAAACATGCGAGGGTTTTGGCGTGGAGGGAGGAGATGAAGCCAAGCGGGAGAGGCAGCGGGAGGTGAGGTCGAGAGGGATCAAATGCCTAGAAGGAGAGGAAGCTCGCAAGAGGAAGAGGTGAGGCAGGCGAGCAGGGCTTCGATGTTCGGTCGAGGGAGGAGAGCAGGCGTCATATGCAGAGAGGCGAGCTGAGCGGGAGAGGTCTCGAGTGGGAGTTTTACTTTTTTCTCTTCAAGCTCGACTCCTTGCTCGATTATTTAGTTCAGTCCTCCAAAACAGACGTTACAAGCCAAATATGGAGAGGAGCGTGATTCATTAACCGCAGGGCCTAATTAAGAATGTAATAACATCCAAATAATGCCAATTAACACCTGAATTAAGTGATGTTACTTCAAATTTTGAATTTTAAATTCAGACAGCGCGAACTGGTGTTATTGAATCGGGTCTAGCCTAAATCGAATCCGAACTGAACCTGGATTGACCCAGGCCCGCACCCCAATAATTTAAAAAAGGTGCATCGATTTTTGTGCTAATTGCTCGTGCGTGGAACCATAGTGATATGAGTGTCCTTCTTAGCTAAAGTTGGCGTCCCAGACGCATCCGCGTGATCAGTTTCGTCATCCAGGGTCGTCCGGACGAGTTCGTCGACGATCGGGCAAAAAATGTGTCAAATTTGATTTCTTTGAATTTTGGGTCGTGGCATGTCATTTTGAAAATTGATTTCAGTTTAACTATCGGTGCAATATGTGAATTGTGGTGTTCGCGTTGCCGAGTCATGAAGGGTTCACCTGTGACCGTCTGATCCTGTAGGAACTCATTTTCGGGCCCTTTATATGTTAGTCCTTAGCCCTTGCAACTAAGAGTTGAGTGCTTAAGACTACTCATGCGAGGTCTGCACAAAAATGAGTCAAGAAGTGACTTGAAGTTTTTTGGGAGGCAAACTCCATTACTGGTCTGCTATGATGGTCAATAAGGAACTCCTAAGGCTAGATTATGGGTACTTGGAGTAGGAGACTAAGACCTCACTGAAAGTGAGGTCAACTGTTTCTTGTATGCTTTCAATTGTGTGTAATGCCTCGTGCATTAGTTTTTTTTTTTTTTTTTTTTTTTTTTGCTTCGCCTTTGTGTAACAAATATGACAATATGTGTCTACCTCAAGTTTTTTTCTTGTCTAGATGCATTAGAGCAATTTGTTTTGTGAATGGATTATTTTAGGCAATTTTGATTGCATTCGAGGCATTTCAAAGGAACTTGTGTGACTTGTTTATTGTCTATTATGTTCTTTGTGTGATGATTTGGGCAAGATGGGTATTCTTTCAGGTTATTTTTGACAGTCCTAATGCATTTTGCATTCTGTTTTACAAATGAGTGACACTTGAGCGATTTTGATCACGATCGTGGTATTTCAAATCTTATTTACACGGTGCCTTGTTCTTGCCCCTTCATCTTCTGTCATATCATATCAAATTAATCATTGTGTCTTTTATCGATAATTACAACACTCCAAGGCATTGGTGTAATTTGTGTTGCGAACGGAAGGCATGCAGATGATTTTGATTGCATTTGTGATGTTTTAAATGAAAATTGTGTGATTTTGCTTTCATCATCCATTGTTTTCATCTTGTAATTATTTGGCGATGTGAGGGGCTCGTTTTGGGCATTTTTTATGCATCAATGTTGTTCGCCTTACAATTTGAATTTTGCTCCCTCACTTTTTTAATTGATTTGTCTTTTTCTTATGCAACATAACAGACAAATGTGAATGCCCTTATTAATCAATTTGAACTTTCAAGACTTGTCCACGTAGTATGTTTTCTAAAGCGAGTGATGTTGAGATAAGGAAGGGTGGAGGCACAGCAGAGCTGTGGATTTGTGGTGCAACTTAACAACAAGCATTGAGTATAAACATGATAAACAAATACGAACAAGAAACAATGTGAGATAGGGGCGATGTTGAGGGAGAATGATGGTCTAAGAGCTTAGCCAAGCTCTAATACCTTTGTTAATACTATATATTTTTATTTATACACACGCGCGCACGCCCGCCCCCGCGCATAGACACGCACGCGCGCGTGCACACACACACACAAGAGATAAAATATAAAGTAAATAATAAATAAATAAAGAGTAGATAATCCTCAATTATGAGGATAAATTTTACAATGGACATATAATATTGAATAATTAATAACTTTTAATATATCATTATGAAACCTTATTGGAGGTTGAACTTGCAATTTTTCTTAGGGGCCTTGATTGCGATTTCACATTTTAGTTCATTTTCTGCTACAAATACAATTTATTACTTGATAACGATAACCTAAAGGTAAGCTCAGTACTTAACTAATGATATTGATTTTAATTACATCAAATATTTAATTATATTAAAATTTTTATTATTTTAAATCTAAGCTAAATAGCTTACCCATTTCTTTTGATGATCCTTCCAACTGACATGAGCCGTCTGCTTAGTCATTACCCGGCACCCATTTGCATGATGCCCAACATTTTTATCCTCTAGTATATTTTATATTTTAATTGATTGCAAATTGAGCAATCGGGAATGAAGTGGAAGATGATGTACTATACCAAGCAATGCATTTTCATAAAAGCTAGTTTTCTCCTTGGATTACATCAGCTTGATCCGACATCATGTCTGGGTGATTTGGGTGCATGGTTTACATTCTTTGATACTCATCTTATGGTCCATTTAATGCTCACTTGAAGATCTTCTTGGTGCCTGTCCCTATACTCTTAGACTCTTGTATTTTTTGTGGACTTCTTTTGGTAGATCAACAAGAAGTGATTTTTTATCTCTTCTTTCATTATCATTCTCTATAAGCTGGTTATTATCATCCTCATATATTGTTGCTTGTACCAAATTGTTAGCAAGCTCTTAAAGCTGCCATCATGATTGTCGATTGGTCGACTACCTGCTTGGACATAATTTTTAAATTTGAGAATGGCTCTGTTAATCTCTTTCAACTTCTCTCAAATCTATCTTCTCTTGATTGATAGATTTTTATAGAATTTTCTAGGTGTTCTTTTAAGTTTTCACAAGCTATAATAAATTTCCTACATGGTTGAACTACGCTTTGATAACAAAATATGATTTGGGTTCAAGTTGTAGAATACTTATTGAACCAATAGGAAATATGTAGGACAAGAATTTAGTCCTATGAAGAAATTAAGCAGAGCTGGATTTTTTTTTTGTAGTCCACTCTAGAAGAGCCGTGAGAAAGAGAGGGCCTATGACTACTTGGAAACTTGTGTAAGGTTTTCAAGCATTGGACAATGCGCCTGAGAGGGAGATTTCTTAACAGAATATTGGAGAGAGGAATTCATTCATTTACTTCTTGCTTGAATACTGCTCAGGCAAAATTGAATTACATATATATACGTAATTCAATTCATTGCACAAAATGTTGCAATTATTTTCCTGTATATTATTCAACATCTTTGATTTTCTCTACCTGAATTTCTCTCTCTATGGAAATTCCCTTCTATATTGAAATTCAAATTGCAATTTTTGCGATAAAATATCTCCTCATTTTATATTTGTAAATTTATCGCTCTAAAATTAATGTTATGAATTTTTCTTAAGAGCCACTTGATCATAATATATGAAGTTTGAAGGCACTGAATTAAGCCTTGACGCCGCCTTGCTTGTGAAATTTGGAAGGGTTTTAAATTCAATAGTAGATCTAGTGTATAATCTAGCTAAATAGAAAAAAAATAAAGCTCACATATTGCAGCAGCTCAAGCCCCCCAAAAAAAGAAAAAAGCAAAAAAGCAAAAAGAAAAAAAAAAAAAAATGCACCCAATCTATGAAGTTTGAAGTTAGCAAATGGAGATTTGACACGGCCATTTCTGGTGAATTATGGAAGGTGATAAAATTCAATAATTCGGATTTGCTCAAGTGGACAAAATTAGAACCCATAATTCAGGGATTTTTTTTTTGTTTTTCTAAGTAATTATAAATTAACGTCTACCTATCCTTTTTTCAGGAAAATGTTGTTACTCATGTTTCTTTGTTCTGCCCATGTTGGTATATCATTTTTTAAGAACTTAATTTGATTTTTTTTTCTTTCAATTGATTCAAATTACATTGCATGCTCTAGAACTACTGGTTTGGTTTGTTTTCATCTCAAAGCATTCTTAATTGATATTTGGAATTCAAATTATTTCTCTGTGCAACTATTCCAACAGATGTTGAGTTTGTACTATTGATATATTATAGCTCGCTGATTTCGTCTGTGATGCAGTTCCTTGACTCTTGAGGGTGTTCGGAGGGCATTAGAGAAGGATTTAGGAATGAAGACTTTTTCGTTGGATGTGCATAAGAGGTTTATTAAACAATGCTTGGAAGAGGTCTGGTTCTTTTGAACATGAGTAATCGGTTTGCCTTTTTTTTTCTCTCCCTGATTTGATAAAAATCTATGATTTGTGCCTTTTGCTACCGTCTTTTATCTGTAAATTGACTATTTTATCATCACCTAATTATGCATGCTGACCCGAAGATTAACATTCATGTAGAACACGCAATTTGCCCATGGGTTGTTAAATTTGCTTCAAGGAGTTTGAATTGGAATGTTAGTATCTTCTTTTTTTTTCTTTGTTAGGAAATCTAATTTTTTGTGCTGTGAATTTTCTAGTACTTGGTGGTGAACCAAGTGGAGATGGTTTAAATGCTCAAGCTGATTTTGAGAAATTTTGAGCTTGTTTTGGCTGGCTGATGAAAGTTGGTGTAAAGCAACGTATTTGCATGTAAAATTAGTTTTTTGGTGTGTGGTTTCTATTATGTTTGTGAAATGAAGTTACTTCGTAGTTCATTTACATCACAAATATCTAATCTAGGAAATTCTTGTTAAGAAAATGTTGTCAAAATGACCCAATTATTTTACAGACATTCACTTTACTTCTCCTTATACACTAAAGGGCTATTTGGTTGGAAGTATTTGGAATGTATGTGTATTTCAACTACAATGTAATATCTGAGTTAACCTAAACGATAATAAACAAACAAATAATATTATTGGAAAAGTCAATAGGCTTTTACGACCAACACACTCGAAAGGTAAACAATAATACGACATCTGAAAATCTGAAATAGCAACAAACACGACACAAACACTCAAACTAGGGTGGACCTCAGGGTGGTGAAGGTGATCGGCAAGGATTTTGGTCCTTTGGAGAGGTAGCAACGGGTGGGGGAAGGGCTGGAAGGTGTGGTGGCAGCGAAGGCCTGTGGGAAACTGCAAGGGGAAGGTATGAAGCTGCAGGAACGACAAGTGCGGTTGCTGTCCTAGGCCGGGGCAGCAAGAAAGAGGGTGTTGGACAGGGAGGAAGTGGTTGGGAGAGGCTGTTATAGCTGCCACAAGAAGGGAGGGAGACATCGGCAACGAAGGTGAGGAGTTACGCCATAGCAACAAGCTGGAACGAGAGAAATGGGTGGTTGGACGGCTGTCTCGGTCGGCGGCAGCTAGGGGGAATGTCGGCGGCTGCAGTGGGGGATGCAGGGGACTGCAGGATAGCGGACAGCTGTCCGGGGCGAGGGTAGTGAGGACATATGGCTGGAATTGGAAAGATTGTAGTGAAAACAGCAAGAACGTTGTTCGGGGGCAGATGTAGTAATGGAGGGACTGGGAGCGATGTGGCGAGTATGTGGAAGGCAATAAGGAAGGTAATCTTCACATTGGGGGAGAGATATATTCGGAGCACCACCCAAACCCTCTGATACAGCTCTTGAAGTGAGAACAGATGTTAGCAGTCCTAAACACGCTCACGCCAAAATCTCCCTTTAAACCCTAATACAACACATATATAGGAAATGACTAAAATGAAAGATAATAAGAAAGAAAGCATAAAAAATGGAAAATAGGATTACTTCAGCTCGTCTTGTGTCTCCAGCGCCCTTTCCGCGATTCCGCGGAATTCAGGAACATAGCACCGCATCAGTCTACTGAGGTTAGGGGAGCTTTAACCTCATACTTTGAAGCTTCTGACTTCTCATGAGATAGCATTAGGTTAGACATGTTGAAGGTAGCAGAGCTATTGCAACTTCCTGATAAGTTGAATGATATCGGAGCTAACCCAAACAACAATAGGAAAAACAAATATTATTAGTGGCAAAGCCAATAGGTAGTTACAACCAACACACTGAAGCAGGAAACGTGACATATGGCTAGGGTGGATCTTAGATGGTCATGGCCATTAGGGGGTCATGGCCATTAGGGGGTTTGGAGAGGCGGTGGCAAGGGTGTAGGTGGATTGGACAACAAAGAGCAGCGACTAGGATCGTTTTTTGTGCGGCGGGAACAACAAATAGATGTGGGAAGGTGATTTCGGCGGCTGGGATAACAATGAGGCGGGATGGGATTGGTTTTAGACCACTGGAACATCAATGACAGTACAAAGCGAGGGCTGGAACAACAACTAGATTGTAGGGATGCGGTTCAGGTGTTTGGAATAGCAGTGGAAAGCAAGGCAGGTGGTTCACAGGGCTACGACGGCAAGGTTGGAGGACTGGAAGGGTTGGAGGGAGGTGCCAGGATGGTTAGTGGCCGGCTACGGGGAGGTTGGGAAACAACATGGAGAACAGCCAAGCAGGCAGATGGCTGCAGGGAGGCAGGGAAACTGCAGGGAGAACCACCAAGAGGGTTGTTTCTGGGTGGCTCTAACAGGAAAGCAACAACGATGATGACGAAGGGAAGAATACGGAGGATAGTTGGAGCAGCATTCCTCTCTCGGATACAATCCTCGAAGGAAAATCTGAGATGCTCACTGCTGTCCCGATAGAAAACAAATGCAAAAATTAAGCTTTAACTCGTACGAAAATAAATATATAAGGGTATAATCAGGAGTGACCCATAAGGATTGACTGACTCCTTAGGTAGGGGAAATCCCAAATCCTGGATCGATTCGGTCCAAGCAAAGCAGTCAACCTGCAAGTTAATCTTATAGACGTTATTATTCATTTTGATAAAGTAGATATCGGTCCTCTTTTGGCTCAATCCAATCTAGCACTGTAGATAGACAAGTATTCTCATGAATAAGGTCTTGAGTCGTCACATCTGTAAACTGCTTCTTCCCCTTCTCATGCCTCGCTGGGCCTATTTGATAAACAAGTTTGTAAGGAGGAATCAAATCTAAGACGAAATATATGGTAGGTTGGAAAATTCTCATTAGTGACCATCCAAGAGATGCTTCTTCTTGTTTGGTGGTAAGTCCTGGATCCCATTATAAAATTTTCTTCCCCAATATGCTCCGAAGATAATTTTAAAAGTTGTGGTTCATTCTTGTGGTTATTTGTTGGTGCGTATATTGCTGAACTGAAGTTAACATCCGAATAACTCCATATGGTTTTACGTGAGTAGCTCATAAGCATCTCATTTATGATATGTTGGGTCTACTCAGTAGGGGCAACTCAAGAATTTGATTATATATCTGAACATTTTAAAAATGTTCTTATTTGGGGTTTTCTTGTGTCTAGTATCGACGCCTCAAACTTGGGGTCTTTTTGGATATCTAATATCGGTTCTACTAATTCTTTTCTCAATGTCTACAAAGAGGTAGTTCAAGCACCACAATCTCATACCTTGTATGAACCCTCATTATCTTGGACTTACTATCTTCTAGAACAACCTCAACTAATCCAACTGGAGTTTCACTCGTGGGTTTCTCTTGAATCACCAATATTTCTTTCTCGTTGGCTTGAAGTTGAGGCTCATCTTTGACGTTTTCACCTTCTCCTCCATTTTTGTTTATTTATTCAACTACCTCCTTGATCAGTGAAAGAGATCTTTCTCATGGTTGTGCAATTTGACTCAATATGTCCAACTTCTTGACACTTGAAACACTTATTGGTTGTGAGAAATTTGAGAATGATGGTTAACTTCATTGGTTCTCTACTCTGAGTTAGTTTCTCAAACTGGGTCTGCCTGGATGTTGTGCTAGGTGTGCTTTTATTGCTTGATCATGGGGTTAAACTTTGTTTGTAAGGTGTGACGGTCATTCAGTGGTGTCGCCTCCCCTCTTGAAGCTACGATCTGAATATCCTGCTTGTAATGAACTGATAGGTATTAGCGCTGCATTTCTTGTTTCACCATATTGAACAGACAATGATTTTATTCTTTCATTTATGCCCTCAAAGAGTATTCAAGTTAGGCCATCGCTGGGATGGACTCTTCCTTAACTAGCTGGGGGCTAGTTTCACCATTTCGTATGGTGAGACATCCTGACACTTAAATACACACTCCATTATCCAAAACTACTCAATGAACACTTTCAAATCCATGTGGCTATTGAACTACTCCAAATCAATATTTACTTCAAAATCCTGACTTACCCAATATTTCATACCAAATTTTTGGGTAGTGATTCATCCCGTGGATTGAATGGAATTTGTTTGACCCTTCTGGATGGTCGCCCCTCGAAGATGACGAGAGCTACTATTGCTTTTGGAGGGTTTCCCACTGTATATCCTTCATATAAATCTCTTGGACACCTCTTTGTGGATTTCTCACAAATGACATAATGTCCTTTTCCCTCAATTGGACTTCTGACTATTGTCTTCTTTGTGGCATGGCTATGATTTGGGTTCCGGTAGGTGGAAGAGGGTATATAGGGGTTGTGCGTGGTGGGAAAAAAATTGTGGGTGGCCGGCTTGGAAAATCAGCAAAGTGAAGAGTTTTTGGTGTAGACAATGTTGAGTATTGGTGGATGCTAGAAATCTTAGGATATGACTAAGGTTAGGCTAGCTCTGATATCAAATGATATTAGAGTTAACCGAAACAACAATAAACAAATTTTATTACTGGAAAAACCAATAGGCAGTTACAACTAACACACTTGAGGGAAAAAACATAACACGAAACCTGAAAATATGAAATGACAACAAACACGATTTAAACACTCAAACTAGGTGGTGGAGGTGGTCGGCAAGGGTTTGGTTCTCCGGAAAGGTAGCAATGGGTGGGGGAAGGGCCGGAGGGTGTGGCGACAACAAAGGTATGTGGATAACCACGAAGAAGAAGTACGAAGCTGCAGGAATGACTAGTGCAGTTTCTGTCCTAGGCAGAGGCAGCAAGAAAGAGGCTGTTGGACAATGAGGAAGTGGCTGCGGGAGGGTGTTATAGTTGCGACAACATGGAAGGGGGGAATGGCGGCAATGAAGATGAGGAGTTGCAGCAATGGTAGCAAGCTGAAATGAGAGAAAAGTGTGGTTGGATGGCTATCCTAGGCGGGGGTGGTGGTGGCAACGGTAGCGGTAGGGGATGCGAGGACTGCAAAATAGAAAGATGACTGCTGTCCGAAGCGATGAGTGAGAAGACAGTTAGTTGGACTTGGAAAAACTGCAGTGAAAATAATAAGTGCGGCTGTTTGGGGGTGGTTGCAACAGTGGAGAGCGACTGGGAGCGACGCGGGGAAGATATGGAAGGGGATATGCAAGCTAAGCAATATCTTGGGAGAGATATGGCCGGATCACCACCAAAACCCGTGTTTGTTTAGGACAGCCCCCATCATCCGTTTTTGTCGAAAGGAGAAAACGGATGATGGGGGCTGTTTTAAACAAACACATGACAAAAACTCCCTTTCAAATCCTAATATAACACTTATATAAGAAATGACTAAAAATGAATAAAGAATGATAGGAAAGAAATCATAAGAAAGGAAAGTGAAACTGTTTCGTCCTCTCCTGCGCTCCTTCCGTAATTCTGCAAAACACAGGAATATCACACCATGCCACAATATTAGGTAAATACACAACATTTGAAATGCCGAAATTATTTTGTTTGGTGTAAAATAAATTCAAAACATATTATTTTTTGTTTTGTTTTTATTAAAAGGAAGATGAATATGATGTTTTGTACTAATATATTTTTATTGCATATTTTTATATAATATATTTTTTATTTAAACTTTTTTTAAGGCTTGAGGTGGATTGATAGTGATGTGGCCAGCAATGGTAGATGGGGTCAATAGGGTTATTTGCGACGATGACGTGGTTTATAGGGCTTAGGACAATGATGATGTGATCAACATTGTGAGAACGCAAGTGATTTGTGTTGGCATGCCTTAGGGGGTTGGCGAGTGGAATCATAGCAGCATTTTGAGATCACATGACATTGTAGGTGTTGAGGTCGTGTCGACGAGCAGGATTATAGAGGCAAGCAAGGTCACAATGGTGTGTGGGTTTGCAATCTTATTTGCTTTGTTTGGCGTATTTCACAATTAAAGTGAATTTGGAATACATAGAAAATAATCCCGGGAGAATTTAAAATTACTTAAAAATTATTGTGTTTTTGTTTTTCTCCCAACCAATTATTTGAAATGTTAAGACATCTACATTTGTTTTACTAAACACTCCTAATACATCAAAACAGACAGCTCTTTTGAGAGAATAGATTGTGAGATCCAAAGACGTTCACATTCTAATCAATATTTGGAATTTATTTTAAGATATCCATAATCGATTTGGTTGGTTGGTGACGTTGGTCAGCCAACTTGCATCTTTAGTTTCAAGGCTTATCTTTAAATAAATTTTGTAGCATTATAATTCATAAAACATACCATTTAGCCATCAATATTTATTGAAATGATGTAAATATCTCTATGATGAATATATGGATAATATTGGAAAATGGAAAGGTTTAAACAATTTGTAGAATTATACTTTCTGTAGATGTAAGATATCTTGCTTCAACAAGGACATCACAATTAATTCACTGAAAGTGTTATGTTCTTTAGATGTCCACGATGATCATATGCCATTATTCATTTTATCAGAAGTTTCGATATATTTAAAATTCATTGCAGTTTCTATATACCTTTCGATTTTGCAGAAGATGTAGTTGGTCTTTTGTGAGTGTTTTTCTTTTTCTTTTCTTACTTTGGGTAGTCAGTTCTTCGAGTATCATTGTTTGGGTATGGTTTGAGTACTAGAGAGCTTAGGTGAATCAGTTCTCAATGCCTAGCTCCAGCAGCAAAGAGGGGAATTTCTCTACCATCACTTTCAGGATACTCAAGCGTTAGCTTGAGGATCAAATCAACTTTGTGTGCAAGCTGATAAATGAAATGCCACTATGCCATTATTCCTAGTCATATGGTCTTGGATTCTGATACATGGGAACACGAATGCGATGCTGACTTTCATTTTGGCTTTTCTGATCATGACTCTTATTGTAAGCATGTTTTCTTTTTCTTTCACATGTAGTTGAGTTTCTTTTTCCTTTTTAAAACAGTGCTTTTATGGCGGTGATGATGCTGATCTATCAACAACTACGGGAAGTGCTCCAGATCCACATCCTCCACATGTGAGCAAAGAAACCCCTAGTGAAAAGGATGAGCCTCAGCAACCGAAAGATCTGATATCTGTCGGTTCTGATATTAATGAGGGGGCAGTGGAATTTCTTGCTGTAGAAGAAAAGCCTAATCATGAATCCATTAAAGATGATGGTATTAAACATGACGAACAGCCTAGTGAAGATACAATAAAGAAAGCAATAGAAAAACGAGCTTTTTTCTTCAGATCTAATCTTGAGTATGTAAAGCCTTGTGATTAACTCTTTTATCTGATATTTGTAGTACGGCTGTGGATGAACAACTTTGCTGAACTTTTTATTGTTAAATTTTCTTTCATTGCCGCTTAGAGCTACAATATTCTAGAGATTGACTATTTTTCTTTCAAAATTTAGGAAAATTACATTGGCAAAAGTTCGTCGTCTGTTGGAAGAGGATCTTAACCTTCAGAAAAACACTCTTGACGCATATAAAAGTTTCATCAGTAACGTGTTAGATGAGGTTAGCACACAATGTTTATGCTCATTTATTCTGTGTGCAATGTTTATTGTTTTATGGAAGCAGAGTAAATATATATTTCTTCTTATTTGATTGACCCTTGTATTAGGTCTTGCAATCACCTGAATCTGCTGAGACTACAAATGGCACTAAGAAGAAACCCAAGAAAGTTTTGAAGAACAAAGAAACTGGAAAAGTAAAGAGAGAGCCTAAGGTTGTCAGTGAAGATTTAGGATCCTCTGATTTGGGTAATGATGCGAGTGAGGCTGATGAAGATAGTGACGTGTTCGTAAAGAGACTAAAGAAAAGGCCACTTAAAAAATCAAAATCAAGCGTGGAACCTATAAAAAAACAGAAAAAATCTTCAGATGCAAACATAACGTCAGTTTCCAGGAAAAAGAGACGAGAGGAAATTGGTTCAGAGATAGGAGCTGAAAGTGATAATGAGAGGTCTTCGGAAAATGGTGGTTCGCACTCATCTTCTGATGAAAGACCAAAGGTTACATTTTCTATTGTATTTTTGAAGTGTTTGGGAAAACTGGCAGCTAATTGTGTTAATTTTTGCAATTATTTAGAAGAAACAAGAGAAGCCAACTACACAAACATATGGAAAGCATGTTGAACATCTAAAATCTGTTATCAAAGCTTGTGGAATGGGGTATAGTATTTTCTTTTCTACTGTATTGTTTTTAAGTGTGAATGGGATAATAATTAGATACAAAGATGAATGAAAATGTCTTTTAAAGTGTTTTCTCCATTTTATTTTTTAGCGTACCACCCGCTGTTTATAAGAGAGCTAAGCAAGTTTCAGACTCAAAGCGTGAAGCATTCGTGATAAAAGAGTTGGAGGATATTCTTGCAAAGGAAGGTTTATCGACTAATCCATCTGATAAAGGTATGCTTAATTTTTATAATTAGATACTAATAGCAGGAGAAGTGAATTTTCCATGCGACTTTATTTCATTTTATTATTCAAGCTTTTGGTTGTTGGTGATGCAATTCGTTGTTCTGGAATTGTTCCATGTTCTTCGCCAGCTCATTCTAGTTCTTTTAGTTATGATCTCCGGTTTATACCCCCTTTATACAACTTGTTCACAAAGCCTTTGACACATACCATGGCTTGCTACTTGGCCCAACACATTTTGACGGTCATCATAATTCAGGATTGCATGCTTGTATCTTTTTGTTTTGTTTAGAAATAAAATCAGTGAAAAGGAAGAAGGAGAGGGCAAGGGAGCTTGAAGGCATAGACATGAGCAATATCGTGTCTACTTCTCGTCGAAGAAGCAGCATCAATTATATACCCACTCCAAAACAGAAAACAGAAGTTGAAAGTGATGAAGACGAGGATGAAGTTGAGGAGGATGAAGATGATCAGGAGGGTACAGATGAGGGTGAAGATGTATGTGAGGCATCTAGCGAAGGATTGGAGGAAGGTATGGTTTACGAGTACTTTCATGCTTGATGATGTATCGATCTATTGATTTATTTTTATTTTTTAATTACAATTTAATTTTTGTTTCTGTGCAGCATTTTTTTTATGTGTGCATTTTTATTTTTTATTTATTCTGAATTAATCAATCAATACCACAACTATTCTTAGTATTCAAGTTTTTGGCTATGTTAATAACTACATGTCTTGCTTAGTAAGTGTTTCAGATTGCGTATTTTTAGTTAAAATATTTAGTAAAATAGGAACAAGTTATTTTGTAATTTTGCTGGTTAAAATTTTCATTAAGAAGATGATGCAAAACAACTGTGCTTCGCAATCAGACTACAATTTTTTTAAAATATTCTAATATTTTAGATTAGCTTTAAGATTTAATCTCTTTGAGTTAGTTGATATGCATTTTTTTTACTTATTTATATTTAATTTTTAATTTAAATTGTAACTCTATTTCTATGAATAGGGAATGAATGAGTGCTAGATTGACAAACAATTATGAATTGCCTTCTAGAAGATTTCCTCTATTAACTTTCGTCTCGTGTTTCCTCTTTTTTTTGTGAAAGACCCTATGGGTTCTTTTTTCATTTTTCATTATTTTTCGGAGTTTGGATTCTCTCTCTGTCCCCCTTATTTCTCTAATTTTTAAAACACTAAACCTTAAATCATTCTTTTGTTTTCTTCATCATCTTGAGACTAATAGCGTAAATCTCTAGAATTTTGAGCTTGTCATAAGGGGTACTTTTAGGATTCTTCCTTAGTTGAGGATTGAATTTGTGGAAAGGTCTTAAAGGCAAATTCAAAGGAAGAGGTTAGATTAAGACATAAATCATCATTAAGGGCTCATCAATAATTTGCATCAAGATCAATGTCTTAAAAGGCGTAGGCGTTGGGCGGGGTGTTTTAGCTGTTATGGGGTGAGGCGTAAGCCTCAAGGCGTCGATCGTAAGCCCTACGATATAAAAAAAATAAGAAATATAAATGTTAAGAGAAAAGAATAAACTATTTGTGGTAATGAGAATAAAATAAAATCTACCTCTAGCAAATTGCAGACTTGAAAAAGAAAAAAAAACTTGCATTTTATTACTACAGCTACAGTAAACTCGTTGTAGCTACGAAGTAAAATAATAAAATTCGTGAAACAATATATACCTCTTAACTAAATGATATGAGCTGAGCTTGCGGGTGTAGGAAAGAGAAGGAACTTATGGCTGAGGACGCAAGTCTAACCTAGGGGGGGGGGGGGGGACGAAGCAGAAGCTTGATGGTGGGATCATCTGCATGAACTTCAAAGCAGACACTCCTTCGTGCAAGATGAAGTAGACGACGCGATCACCTGCTGTGGAAGGGACAAAGCAAATGGTGGCGAGTTCTTCTATGTCTCTGCGTGCGAGGGAGGAAGCAGAGGATGCGGGAGATCGATTACGTGGGGAGACCATGAATCAGTGTGGATCGAGTAAGTATGAAGAATCAGGGTTTTGTTTTTCTTTTTGTTTGATTAATAGATGGGGTGTACGCCCCATGATGTCCAAATTGCGCTCCGTACACTCCAGGGCGTACGTCCCGTGAGCTTTACGGCCCCCTCACAGGCTTGGGGCGAATAGGCATATGCCTCACCCTGGGGCATGCTCTATAAACGCCCTTTAAACAGAGATCAGGATCATCATTTTATATTTATTGGCATCAAACCAAATTTCATGAAGCTAATTGCTTGTGATTTGAGCCATTTATGTTTATTGGTTTCTTTATCCATTCTGCACCACCATCAGCAAATTTCAAGAGAAGGGTTTGGGGGGGGGGGGGGGGGGGGGGGTT